GGTTTGGCCCGCTAGTTGTTTTATTTGGCCCCCCAGGTTTTTTGAGCAAAAAACCCCCACCAAGAAATCAGCTCCAAGCGATTTATATTTAAGAAATCTGTTCCCAAGTATTCCCACGCATACTAGAGACACGACGTGATCGTAAACAAATGTAAGCAAGGTTTGAAATTATTATGTTTTGGTCAAACATATCTGTTTGGGCTTCTTGTGGTCAATTTGCAGTCTACAAATTATTTGTAATTATGTTCCAGGCCCCTGACCATCCGCTCAAGAAAAAAATCGGCTGCTATATGGGAACAACCAGTTCAATTTATTGATGTTGCTACATTTGCTAGAGATGAATTTGAATAAACAAACTAGATTAATTGTTGTAATGCGCCCTTGTGTGCAGCCTATGTAACGAGTAGGTCATAGGAAAATAACTATAATAAAGTTAGCAAGAAAGGCATTTCACTGTACTTGTGCATGTGACATTAAAACTTGAAACTTGCATGTGCATGTGGTGGACATGTGGCGAAGTGCGGCACCCCAACTAGCTTTTCGGACTGCTCCTTTGACAATGAATGACTTCCGCCAGAACGCAAAGAGTTTGATACATCTGGTGAAAACGAGGCTTAAAGCTAATTTATATGCTTAATCCGAAAATGTGGTCGGAGGAGCCATTTGGAGGGTGTGACGCAATTGCGGAGCCTCTGGAGGCATGCAGAGGCCAAATTGAGCTCTGTACTACCGTGCACCACCCAAATGTTTTAACAATGTGGAGGGCTCTGTATAGCTCAGCATTTACATGATTGGTTGAGGAGAGGTGGGGGCATGAGGTCCAGTATAAACACAAACTCACTTCCTTGACAACAGCTCTTCTCTTCTCAGCTAAGCACAAGAAATATAAATGCCCTGATTTCTCTGCATAGGCCCTATGCAGTAAATGTTGTACAGCCACTGCAGACATTGGATTGACCATGCAGAGCCTTTTAAAGGTTATGAATGGTCAATCCGATAACTGCAGCATTTACTGTGATATGGCCTCTGCTGAGGTCAGGGCATTCATACCTCTTGAGATTCACATAGCAGAGCTGTTGTCAAGGAAGTAAGTTTGTTTATATGACCTCCCGCCCCCACCTACCATCAACCAATCATGTCGATGCGGAGATATATAGTCATATACAGCCCTCTGCATTGTTACAAAATTCGGGAGGCGTACAGCGATGTGATGTGGAGCTTGATTTGGCCTGTGCAAGCCTCCGAGGCGTCGCAAATTGTGTCACACCCTCTATTCAGAGCCTCTGGAATCGCATTAACAGATCAAGCATACATTGGCTTTTATTATTCTTGCTGGCGGAACTGAGGTGTAGCAGATGTAGACGTGAATCAGGAAATGACATAGCCAGGTCTTCCATGTTTACGCAGACGTGTGTTTCGCTAGTTTCTTCGAGGAGCTGTGCAGAGTGAAAATACAAAGAACTTGACTTCTGTAAAGTTATAACTCACCGGCATTGATATAATCAAAGTTAACATCGTATGCATGGCAAAGCTTAATAACCTTATTTGGTAATTGAAATTAAGACTCGTTTTAGCTGACTACATAGCGTTGCTAGCTGGCTAACGATACCTAGCTGGCATTCTCCACAAGGAGGCGGGCGGAAGTAGCTAATGCATGTTGGCTAGCAAGCCTCTGTTCCGTTTGTAGTATATTTTGGTGGACCTATGTTGTGAGTGAGTGACAATAAGATCTAGCCGTCTTTCGCCTTTGGAAGCAAGCCATGGCTGAATCCCAGAAAGCAGATCATTCAGAGGTAAATTACGTTTTTGAATTAATGCTAGCCTTCTAGTTAGTTGTGTCTTCTGCAAGCTAGGTAGCTAGTTACAGTTGAAGTCGGAAGTTTACATACACTTAGGTTGGAGTCATTAAAACTCGTTTTTCAACCACTTTTCTTGTTAACAAACTATAGTTTTGGCAAGTCGGTTAGGACATCTACTTTGTGCATGACACAAGTAATTTTTCCAACAATTGTTTACAGACAGATTATTTCACTTATAAAACACTCACAATTCCAGTGGGTCAGAAGTTTACATACACTAAGTTGACTGTGCCTTTTAAACAGCTTGGAAAATTACAGAAAATGATGTTATGGCTTTAGAAGCTTCTGATAGGCTAATTGACATAATTTGAGTCAATTGGAGGTGTACCTTTGGATGTATTTCAAGGCCTACCTTCAAACTCCGTGCCTCTTTGCTTGACATCATGGGAAAATCAAAAGAAATCAGCCAAGACCTCAGAAAGAAAATGGTAGACCTCCACAAGTCTGGTTCATCCTTGGGAGCAATTTCCAAACGGCTGAAGGTTCCACGTTCATCTGTACAAACAATAGCACGCAAGTATAAACACCATGGGACCACGCAGCCATCATACCGCTCAGGAAGGAGACGCATTCTGTCTCCTAGAGATGAACGTACTTTGGTGTGAAAAGTGCAAATCAATCCCAGAACAACAGTAAAGGAACTTGTGAAGATGCTGGAGGAAACAGGTACAAAAGTATCTATATCCACAGTAAAACAAGTCCTATATCGACATAACCTGAAAGGCCGCTCAGCAAGGAAGAAGCCGCTGCTCCAAAACCGCCATAAAAAAGCCAGACTATGGTTTGCAACTGCACATGGGGACAAAGATTGTACTTTTTGGAGAAATGTCCTCTGGTCTGATGAAACAAAAATATAACTGTTTGGCCATAATGACCATCGTTATGTTTGGAGGAAAAAGGGGTACGTTTGCAAGCCGAAGAACACCATCCCAACTGTGAAGCACGGGGGTGGCAGCATCATGCTGTGGGGGTGCTTTGCTGCAGGAGGGACTGGTGCACTTCACAAAATAGATGGCAATAGTCGCAAATGGGTCTTCCAATTCGACCATGACCCCAAGCATACTTCCAAAGTTGTGGCAAAATGGCTTAAGGACAACAAAGTCAAGGTAATGGAGTGGCCATCACAAAGCCCTGACCTCATTTCTATGGAACATTTGTGGGCAGAACTGAAAAGGCGTGTGCGAGCAAGGAGGCCTACAAACCTGACTCAGTTACACCAGCTCTGTCAGGAGGAATGGGCCAAAATTCACCCAACTTATTGTGGGAAGCTTGTGGAAGGCTACCTGAAACGTTTGACCCAAGTTAAACAATTTAAAGGCAATGCTACCAAATACTAATTGAGTGTATGTAAACTTCTGACCCACTGGGAATGTGATGAAAGAAATAAAAGCTGTAATAAATCATTCTCTCTACTATTATTCTGACATTTTCACATTCTTCAAATAAAGTGGTGATCCTAACTGACCTAAGACAGGGAATTTTTACTAGGATTAAATGTCAGGAATTGTGAAAAACTGAGATGAAATGTATTTGGCTAAGGTGTATGTAAACTTCAACTGTATGTCGACCCTCCCCTTTATTTCCCGTGCAAGAAAATCAACAAACTTAAACAAACACTGCACGCTCAAACTTGGTTCTATTTGGTTCTCACCAAGTTGGTATTTAATTGCAAGCATGAGTTGGACATTTCCCTCATGGTTCTTGACTTTTTCCTGGTCAGGTCACGTGGTAAGGGAAAACTCAGGGCCCTACTTATAGGACCATTACTAATAGAATATTGTCTGAACTCAGCATACAGGAGAGCCAAACCAGGAGATTGAGAAGCCATCTCAGGCTGGAGCAGCAATGGATTCCGTGCACCCTGGAGCATCACACAGCAATGCACCCACAGCCTCGGCAGATGGAAACAGTGGGGATGATGCTACCAATGCAGTCAGTGCAAGTACCTCCTCAACTATAGACGGGGCAGGGGATGCTGGTAATTCAGAAACTGTGAAGGAAACCTATGCAGAGGATTCAAAGACAGTGGAAGAAACGGTAAAAACAGATGCCTCGCTGACTGTGGGAGAAACGTCCAGTAAAGAGGATTCACAGACAGAAAGAGAAACAGTCAGTGTAGATGCTTCACAGAAGGAAAGAGAAACAGCCAGTGTAGATGCTTCACAGACAGAAAGAGAAACAGCCAGTGTAGATGCTTCACAGACGGAAAGAGAAACAGCTAGTGTAGATGCTTCACAGACGGAAAGAGAAACAGTCAGTGTAGATGCTTCACAGACGGAAAGAGAAACAGCCAGTGTAGATGCTTCACAGACGGAAAGAGAAACAGCCAGTGTAGATGCTTCACAGACGGAAAGAGAAACAGCCAGTGTAGATGCTTCACAGACGGAAAGAGAAACAGTCAGTGTAGATGCTTCACAGACAGAAAGAGAAACAGCCAGTGTAGATGCTTCACATAAGGAAAGAGAAACAGCCTGTGTAGATGCTTCACAGACGGAAAGAGAAACAGTCAGTGTAGATGCTTCACAGACGGAAAGAGAAACAGCCAGTGTAGATGCTTCCCAGACGGAAAGAGAAACAGCCAGTGTAGATGCTTCACAGACGGAAAGAGAAACAGCCAGTGTAGATGCTTCACAGACGGAAAGAGAAACAGCCAGTGTAGATGCTTCACAGACGGAAAGAGAAACAGCCAGTGTAGATGCTTCACAGACGGAAAGAGAAACAGCCAGTGTAGATGCTTCACAGACGGAAAGAGAAACAGCCAGTGTAGATGCTTCACAGACGGAAAGAGAAACAGCCAGTGTAGATGCTTCACAGACGGAAAGAGAAACAGCCAGTGTAGATACTTCACAGACGGAAAGAGAAACAGCCAGTGTAGATGCTTCACAGACGGAAAGAGAAACAGCCAGTGTAGATGCTTCACAGACGGAAAGAGAAACAGCCAGTGTAGATGCTTCACAGACGGAAAGAGAAACAGCCAGTGTAGATGCTTCACAGACGGAAAGAGAAACAGCCAGTGTAGATGCTTCACAGACAGTCGGAGAAACAGTTGGTACAGATGCACCCCAGACTGTGGAAGAAACAGGCAATACAAATGCTTCACAGACTAACGGAGAAACAGACAGCACAGACATACCCCTGGACATGGGAGTAGTGGATGCTGATGATGAGATGGAGGTCAATGCTATCAAAGTGGAGGATGACCAGAAACAGGAGGAAGACAACTTGGAGGGGATGCCTGTAACAACTGCTGTGGAAGAGGGAAGTGACATGGACTCTTTTAGCAGCAACTCCCTGGATCATGGGGATGAGGTGGAGAAGATGGACACCGGGACCGATGCACTGACAGAGAAGCAGATTGAGGAGCCCAGCAAGACCGGACAAGTGGACAACACTGATTCCATGCCTTCTATTGTGGATACAGGTAATAAGACTGCTGCCTGCATCTTTTTGTTGGCTATACAAGTTTAGGATCAGGATGATCAATTGTTTCCGTAGTTTGCTGAATTAATTTCTTCAGGTTGAATTTGTTTGTTTTACGGGTGTGATGCTACCCTATTTTGCTGTCTTGCATGACACTCCATTGTTGCTGGAAAGCCCCAGTGTCGAAAGTCCTCAAAGTTCAAACACGTCACCTTATTCACACTATCCCACCTCTCAAACATTGTCTCCATGACAGAGGACACAGAGCAACCTGCTGAGCAGACCAGCTTTGAGGAGGCTCCACTAATGGAGCAGGACCATTCTGAAGATGTCAAACCGTTTCACCCCAGTCCCACCTCTAGCGAAGCTATTCTCCCTCAGAACAGAAAAGGTGAGAGGCCACAAGAGTCAGTCTTTGGAATATACAGTCTTTTTAGTTGTATAATGTTCAGACATGACCCGAATACTTGAACGTTAGTGTGGTCCCTCATAATATTCAGATGCTAATGAGTACACTGCAGTAAAAAAAATTTATAAAATAAATTCTCAAGCTGAATTACCTGTTGCTTGTTTTTCTGCAGGCACTGGCAGTCCTGCAGGGCTGGAGAATGGAGTGGCAGGACAGCCAGTCAAAGTTGTGAGTGTCCAGTGCAACTCGATTGTCTCTTTGAAAGAAGTTCCTTTTTGTCGGCGAACAAATCAAGATAAATTGGCAACGAAACAATTAGGACCTCCCAGACCAAATTTAATAATTCAACAGGTTTCTACTAAAGGGGGAAAGTCCTACACCCGAGGATTTTCCAAAAATTGGTACGAACGAAAAACCTGGCTAGCAGGCTGCGATGTAGCTAATGCAGTCTTCTGCTACCCCTGCTTACTCTTTCACCCTGAAGGCGGCACGGCAGACAGCAACGCTTGGACAGCGACTGGTGTAACGGACATGCACCATCTTTCAGAAAAGATTAAGAAACATGAGCTGTCAAAGACCCACATGGATAGCTGTTTGAGATTGTCTGCTTTGGGGAGAGGGAACATTGCCACTCAACTGGATGAGGGATACAGGCTAGCTGTCCGCCGCCACAACGATGAGGTTAGCAAGAACCGCCACATCCTCAGCCGGCTAATCCAGTGTGTGAAGTTTTGCGGAGTGTTTGAGTTAGCTTTGCGAGGCAAAGATGAAACTGAGGGCTCCACCAATCCTGGTATTTTTCTTGGACTTGTCAACTTTGTGGCACAATTAGATGAGGTGTTTTATGGAAATGCATATTGTTTATGCAGTGTTGAGGAATGTGAAAGAACACCCTTGATAATTTTTACTGTGATAACTTATGTTGCTTTTGTAAGCCAACACTTTTGAGATCAGTCAATAAATGCTTCTGGTATTGACTTATATGCTGCCCCTGTCTTCATGTTGTTGCTGGACATATCTTTTTTAAAATGTGTGTAGGTCACCTAAATCATCAGAAAAATTGCCCCCCCTGAGAATTTTTTCAGGAGCCGCCACTGCCTGTAACCATTCACGTTAACTCACATGATTCCATCTACAATTCTTATTGAATGTTACATGCTGTTGTTCAATGTTCTCTGCAGTCAGCCCAGTCTGCCCAGCCGACAGCAGAGCCTGTGTCCACCAGCGCTGACACCATCTCCATGGTGAAGGTGAAAGATGAGCCAGTAGATGAGGAGTATGATCAGGCCCTGGCTCCAGCAGTCCTCACAGAGGGCGTCAAGGATGAACCAGACGCAGCAGAGGTACGGCATCTCTAAACTCACTGGCCAAGTTTTAACTGGACATTTCTATTGTCTGAGTTACATAAAAGTTGTCTATTGACATCAATGCATATAGTTCAAGCTGTGTGTGTATTTGAACCCAAATCCTGAATCCTGTGTGCATGTTAAATGTATGTCACCTTTTTGTTATTTACAGGAGTTGAAAATCAGTAACGTCTTCTCTGTGGGCGGCGCCCCTACCCCAATCGGTGAGTAGGGCACTTTGATATTTGTGCACATCAGTACACATTAGTGGTCGCTCAACGGTCAAAGCTCTAAGGGAGTGTTTCTTAATCATGGTCCTCGGGACCCAAATGGTTAGTGGAATCAAGTGTGTAGTGCTAGGGCAAAAACGGCATGTCTAGCTTTTATTTTGGTGATTGATAGTTCTCAAAGATAGTTCTTAAAAAATATATAGGTACATTATCTTTTCTACATAATTTATATCTGGTTTTAGGCGTTAAAGTTTACACGGAAAGCGTTTTTAACATCCCCAAAATTTGATTGACATCTCAACCTGAAAAAATGCTGAGGCGGCACGCACAAGTATTTCCATTGCAGAAAAATGTCTGGGCTGTGGAGTGGATCTTTATAGTCTACTGCAGGCTCTCAAAGAGCAACATTTGACTGACTACCACCTTACAGATGATACATTTCTCTCATACCCCCTTCCCTCAATCTCCACCCATCCTCTCATCCCTCTCCCTCTATTATCCACAGCCACATCCACGCCAGTAGCCGCCCTCTCCAAGACTGCAATGCCTGCCTTGGCCCCGGCCTCCTCCTCCATCCCTCCGCTGATCCCCATGGCTATGCGGGTGGCCTGTTCGGCCTGTAACAAGGTGTTGCTGAAGGGCCAAACAGCCTACCAGAGGAAGGGCTCCTCGGACCTCTTCTGCTCCACGTCCTGCCTCACCTCCTACAGCCCCCCGCCCGTCGTCAAGATGACTGCCCCCGGCCCGGCCAAGAAACCCTGCCACTACTGCCTCAAGTGAGTCCTGCTGTTGTCATGTCATTGGAGTAGCTATGTAGATAATGAATTAAGGAAAGATAAATGAATGTAAAATAAGAAGCCTTCTGACATTGCTAAACTGTAATTTATTGTTCTCCTGTGAATATATTCCAAACTGTTTCCAAAGGTTTTGACCAAACTATCCCAACTCGATTCACATTTACTTCCACTGTGCTACCTTTTTCCACATGCATTTAAATGTAAAGCACTGTGAGCTAACTGACTGTAAAGAAAAATATGTTTATAGATCAATTATGTTGTTATGAACTTATCACCCCCCCCCCCCCCCCCTCAGGGAGATTGCTAACCCCAAGGACGTGATCACAGCTCCTGTGGACACCATGGGCACGGTGAAGGACTTCTGTAGCCAGACCTGCCTCTCCTCATTCAACTTCAAGAGGAACACTGCAGTCTCCACCCTCACCACCATGACTGGGGCCATCAAGTGCAGCATGTGCAAGAAGGCCTGCATTGTAAGGGACTTATGGTCTTTGAGTGTGTCAGTGTGGTAGTCGCTAGGAGTAACAACATTGGCAATATAAAAGTGGTGATGTCAGAGCTGACAGGGAAGTGAACAATCTGCTCCTTGTTCTCTCCCACACAGAGTAAACACGAGGTGATCTTCCAGGGCAGCATGCACAGGCTGTGCAGTGAGGTGTGCTTCACGCGCTTCCGCTCCACCAACAAGCTGTCCATGAACAGCTGTCAGAGCTGCAACAACTACTGCTACGGCAAGGTCACCGTGCTGGTCGTGCAGGGGGTCAATAAGACCTTCTGCAGCGCCGGCTGTGTCACCACCTTCAAACAGGTACGAATCTGATCCTTGAGATGCAGTCAGAAGAAGCTGTTGGACTGTAACTAGGGATGTTTCTAAAAACGTTACGATCTGTCAAATCATTGCTTCCGCCACCCTTGTTTTCTCAATTCCTCTCAAAGCTGTTCGGAGGAGGAGGAGGTCCGAGGGAGGGACCTTGGATCTTCTCCTCCAGTACGTAAGAACCATCTACCTGTAAGTTAATGCAAGCAAAAGAAGTCACTCACTCTCCCTTTGTGGTCGGTCTGGTTTTTTCAGAAAGCTAAGAAGCATGTGGCATGTACTATGTGCCGCAACTTCCGCGCACCGGTGGAGATGGTTGAGAGCGCCGACTCTGACGGCAAGCTGGAGATGTTCTGCTCTACTGGCTGTGTTACAGCCCACAAAGTACAGACCGTCAGCTCCTCAGGTATAGCTAGGCTAACCACCTCTGCAACATATACACCTTACTCTCTCACTCACTCACTCACTCACTCACTCACATGCACTCTCCTTCTTTCGTGTCAACCCAGGTGCTCAGGTAGAGTGCAACGCTTGTGGTCAGAAGACGGTGCCCTCCTTCCACCTGGCCATGTCGGACGGCTCCATCCGGAACTTCTGCACCATGAACTGTGTCGTCACCTTTCAGGTAACTTAAGAGTAGAAATATTGAAAGGACGGCAACTTAATGACCTTCAATGATATTAATTGCGGCTCTAATAACACTTACTTTTGATATTTTACGCTTTGTTTATAAAACATACCCATGTACGCTGTACTTTGCTGTCCTGCACTGACACTACAATGTTATAATATTTCTGTGGCCTGTAGGATCAGTTCAATAAGAGCAACACCCAGAGTCAGATGAACGTGGCCCCGAGCACAGGGACCACAGCTCCCCCCGCGGCCCCGGCCCAGACCAGGGACCGGGGATCCCAAGGGACCAGACTGCCCTGCTTCCAGTGCCACCGCCTCTTCTCCTCCAAGCCCGAGCTCATTCAGTTCAAGGTACCTACAGTGGGGAAAAAAAGTATTTAGTCAGCCACCAATTGTGCAAGTTCTCCCACTTAAAAAGATGAGAGAGGCCTGTAATTTACGTCAACTATGACAGACAAATTGAGATTTTTATTTCTAGAAAATCACATTGTAGGATTTTTTATGAATTTATTTGCAAATTATGGTGGAAAATAAGTATTTGGTCACCTACAAACAAGCAAGATTTCTGGCTCTCACAGACCTGTAACTTCTTCTTTAAGAGGCTCCTCTGTCCTCCACTCGTTACCTGTATTAATGGCACCTGTTTGAACTTGTTATCAGTATAAAAGACACCTGTCCACAACCTCAAACAGTCACACTCCAAAATCCACTATGGCCAAGACCAAAGAGCTGTCAAAGGACACCAGAAACAAAATTGTAGACCTGCACCAGGCTGGGAAGACTGAATCTGCAATAGGTAAGCAGCTTGGTTTGAAGAAATCAACTGTGGGAGCAATTATTAGGAAATGAAAGACATACAAGACCACTGATAATTTCCCTCGATCTGGGGCTCCATGCAAGATCTACCCCGTGGGGTCAAAATGATCACAAGAACGGTGAGCAAAAATCCCAGAACCACACGGGGGGACCTAGTGAATGACCTGCAGAGAGCTGGGACCAAAGTAACAAAGCCTACCATCAGTAACACACTACGCCGCCAGGGACTCAAATCCTGCAGTGCCAGACGTGTCCCCCTGCTTAAGCCAGTACATGTCCAGGCCCATCTGAAGATTGCTAGAGTGCATTTGGATGATCCAGAAGAGGATTGGGAGAATGTCATATGGTCAGATGAAACCAAAATGGAACTTTTTGGTAAAAACTCAACTCGTCGTGTTTGGAGGACAAAGAATGCTGAGTTGCATCCAAAGAACACCATACCTACTGTGAAGCATGGGGTTGGAAACATCATGCTTTGGGGCTGTTTTTCTGCAAAGGGACCAGGACGACTGATCCATGTAAAGGAAAGAATGAATGGGGCCATGTATCGTGAGATTTTGAGTGAAAACCTCCTTCCATCAGCAAGGGCATTGAAGATGAAACGTGGCTGGGTCTTTCAGCATGACAATGATCCCAAACACACCGCCCGGGCAACGAAGGAGTGGCTTCGTAAGAAGCATTTCAAGGTCCTGGAGTGGTCTAGCCAGTCTCCAGATCTCAACCCCATAGAACATCTTTGGAGGGAGTTGAAAGTCTTTGTTGCCCAGCGACAGCCCCAAAACATCACTGCTCTAGAGGAGATCTGCATGGAGGAATGGGCCAAAATACCAGCAACAGTGTGTGAAAACCTTGTGAAGACTTACAGAAAACGTTTGACCTGTGTCATTGCCAACAAAGGGTATATAACAAAGTATTGAGAAACTTTTGTTATTGACCAAATACTTATTTTCCACCATAATTTGCAAATAAATTGATTAAAAATCCTACAATGTGATTTTCTGGATTTGTTTTTCTCATTTTGTCTGTCATAGTTGACGTGTACCTATGATGAAAATTACAGGCCTCTCTCATCTTATTAAGTGGGAGAACTTGCACAATTGGTCGCTGACTAAATACTTTTTTCCCCCACTGTATATGGTATTTAATTTCTCTCTCTATCTATCTCATTCTGTCACTTTTCTTTTTGCGTTTCCCTCTTCCTCCATTTTGTTGAACTCACACTCTCCCTCTCACAAACACAAATCCCCTCTATTTATGTTGACAACCTCGGTTAATGCTGCTATATAATTGATTAAATGTATGTCTGCAACCCTACAGGATAAGATGGTATTCCTCTGTTCAGTAAATTGCTCTGAGGAGTACAGAAAGATCAACTACGAGATGGCGCGCTGCGAGTACTGCAAGATTGAGAAGCCAGCCAAGGAGGTCAAGAGAATCAACAAGAGGGACTACAGCTTCTGCAGCGAAGGTGAGGAGGGAGATCCATACATGTCTTTAATAGGCCTGCTACTTACAGGAGTTCGCACCTTGGTGAATAAAGACCCATTTCCCTGTCTCTCCCTCTTCTCTCCTCCATACCCAGGCTGTAAGCTGCTCTACAAGCACGACCTGACCAAGCGCTGGGGGAAACACTGCAGAAACTGTGCCTACTGCGCCTCCACCGCGCAGAAGGCCATCACAGGCCAGTACGGAGGCAAGATGGAGGAGTTCTGCTCGGACGAGTGCAAGTCCCACTACACCCTGCTCTTCTGCCAGGTAAAGGAAGGAACCATGCTAAGGAACTGAACAAGACACCTAGGGCTCAATGAGGCTCAATACTTAGAAGCAGTCTTCTGTCGGTGTTTATCTCCTTTTCTTTTGATCTGAAACGGCTTAAATACAAACTTTTGTAGAAGACTTGTCTGAAAAGAATACCAGACATTTTGTTTAGATTGTTGTACAGTTCTCTCATATTAGTGCAGGTGGAAGGAAGAAGGTAGGGATACGAAACCACATGATGAGTGAATTAATTGAACTTTCCAAATGGTACATCCTATATGGCAGTTGGAATAGCTGTTTGCAGGGCAATTAGTATTAGTACTTCAGTCTCCCCTGTTTTCTCAGCGGCAGCTGTAAACGGCGGTCGTGTCAGCGGCGGTCTCGTCGCAAAACTAAGACCGCCGCCGAAACAAAGACGGTTCTTTGTTCTGCCGAGTTATTCGAGGATGGAAAGCGAGGAAGGCTCCACACCACTCTCACGAATATCTTACCTGGTTATTTTCAGATCTCATTTTGCTCTTTGGCATCTATGTGTGTGTGTTTTCTGTACCTGTTTGCTCCTCTCACTGTAGGCTTTACAGACGCACCCCACCCCTTGGCTGCAACCCTTCTAATTTAGGTTGTGCGCGCAGGGTACATTTACATTTACATTTTAGTCATTTAGCAGACGCTCTTATCCAGAGCGACTTAGTTAGTGAATACATATTATTATTATTTTTTATACTGGCCCCCCGTGGGAATCGAACCCACAACCCTGGCGTTGCAAACGCCATGCTCTATCAACTGAGCTACATCCCTGCCGGCCATTCCCTCCCCTACCCTGGACAACGCTGGGCCAATTGTGCGCCGCCCATGAGTCTCCCGGTCGCGGCCGGCTGCGACAGAGCCTGGATTCGAACCAGGATCTCTAGTGGCACAGTTAGCACTGCGATGCAGTGCCTTAGACCACTGCGCCACTCAGGAGTTAACTGTGGGTACTCTGTGGAATTCCTGTTCTCTGGCAGTGTTTGGAACAGCCGAACTGGGGTCAACAATGCAGAGTTCATCTCAGCCGATGCTGCCCTTAAGTCCTTTGAGTTTTTGGCCCTGACTGAGACATGGATCACCCCAGAGAACACTGCCCCTCCAGCTGCTCTCTCTTCATCTGACTACATTTTCCCTCACAGCCCGAGAGCATCTGGTCATCGCGGTGGTGGCACAGGGCTACTAATTTCTCCTAAGTGGAGGTTTTCTCTTTTCTCCCCCTCTCACCTGTCCATCTCCTCATTTAAATGTCATGCTGTCACTGTCACTTGTCCACTCAAGCTTAACATTGTTGTCATCTATCGCCCGCCAGGTGTCCTTAGAGAGTTCCTCAATGAGCTTGACACCTTGATAAGCTAATTTCCTGACGATGGCTCACCGCTCTTCGTACTTGGCAACTTCAACCTCCCGACGTCTGCCTTCGATTCTCTCTTTCCTCTCCTTGCCTCTGTTATTATATAAACTCAGCAAAAAAAGAAAAGTCCCTTTTTCAGGACCCTGTCTTTCAAAGATAATTTGTAAAAATCCAAATAACTTCACATATCTTCATTGTAAAGGGTTTAAAACTGTTTCCCATGCTTGTTCAATGAACAATTTAATGAACATGCACCTGTGGAACGGTCGTTAAGACACTAACAGCTTACAGATGGTAGGCAATTAAGGTCACAGTTATGAAAACTTAGGACACTAAAGAGGCCTTTCTACTGACTCTGAAAAACACCAAAAGAAAGATGCCCAGGGTCCCTGCTCATCTGCGTGAACGGATCTTAGGGATGTTGCAAGGAGGCATGAGGACTGCAGATGTGGCCAGGGCAATAAATTGCAATGTCCGTACTGTGAGACGCCCAAGACAGTGCTACAGGGAGACAGGACGGACAGCTGATCGTACTTGCAGTGGCAGACCACGTGTAACAACACCTGCACAGGATCGGAACATCCGAACATCACACCTGCGGGACAGGTTCAGGATGGCAACAACAACTGCTCGAGTTACACCAGGAACGCACAATCCTTCCATCAGGGCTCAGACTGTCCACAGTAGGCTGAGAGAGGCTGGACTGAGGGCTTGTAGGCCTGTTGTAAGGCAGGTCCTTATCATAAATCACCGGCAACAACGTCACCTATGGGCACAAACCCACCGTCACTGGACCAGACAGGACTAGCAAAAAGTGCTCTTCACTGACGAGTCGCTGTTTTGTCTCACCAGGGGTGATGGTCGGATTCACATTTATCGTCGAAGGAATGAGCGTTACACCGAGGCCTGTATTCTGGAGCTTAATCGATTTGGAGGTGGAGGGTCCGTCATGGTCTGGGGTGGTGTGTCACAGCATCATCAGACTGAGCTTGTTGTCATTGCAGGCAATCTCAACGCTGTGCGTTACAGGGAAGACGTCCTCCTCCCTCATGTGGTACCCTTCCTGCAGGATCATCCTGACATGACCCTCCAGCATGACAGTGCCACCAGCCATACTGCTCGTTCTGTGCGTGATTTCCTGCAAGACAGGAATGTCAGTGTTCTGCCATGGCCAGCGAAGAGCCTGGATCTCAAACCCATTGTGCACGTCTGGGACCTGTTGGATCGGAGGGTGAGGGCTAGGGCCATTTCCCCCAGAAATGTCCGGGAGCTTGCAGGTGCCTTGGTGGAAGAGTGGGGTAACATCTCACAGCAAGAACTTGCAAATCTGGTGCAGTCCATGAAGAGGAGATGTACTGCAGTACTTCATGCAGCTGGTGGCCACACCAGATACTGACTGTTACTTTTGTTCAGGGGCACATTATTCAATTTCTGTTAGTCACATGTCTGTGGAACTTGTTCAGTTTGTCTGTTGTTGAATCTTATGTCATACAAATATTTACACATTTTAAGTTTGCTGAAAATAAATGCAGTTGACAGTGAGAGGACGTTTCTTTTTTTGCTGAGTTTATTGTTTTGGTTGTACTTTTTACCCCTTGTGATATCCAACTGGTAGTTACAGTCTTGTCCCATCACTGCAACTCCCGTGCGGACTCGGGATAGGCGAAGGTCGAGAGCCATGCATCCTCCGAAACACGACCCCACCAAGCCGCACTGCTTCTTGACACACTGCTCGCTTAACCCGGAAGCCAGCCCCACCAATGTGTCGGAGGAAACACCGTACAGCTTGCGACTGAAGCCAGCGTGCATGCGCCCGGCCGCCACAAGGAGTCGCTAGAGCGCGATGGGACAAGGACATCCCAGCCGGCCAAACCCTCCCCTAACCCGGACGACGCTGGGCCAATTGTGCGCAGCCTCATGGTTCTCCCGTTCGCGGCCTGCTGCGACACAGTCCGGGATTGAACCCGGATCTGTAGTGACGCCTCTAGCACTGATCAGTGCCTTAGACCGCTGCGCCATTCGGGAGGCCTCTTTTGACCTCACCCTCTCCCAGTCCCTCACAAGGCAGGCGATACACTTGACCTCATCTTTACTAGAGGCGGTTTGCCTTCTAATCTCACAGCAACCCATCTCCAGGTCTCTGATCATGACTTTGTTTCCTTTTCTTTCTCCCTTTCCTCCAACCCACTCAGCCCCTACCCAGATGTTCATGCACCGTTGTAATCATCGCTTTCTCTCCCACTACTTCTATCCTAATCTCTCTTCTGCTAAATCCTTCTCCCTTGTGTCTCCTGATTTTGCATCTTCGACCCTACTCTCCTCCCTATCCGCATCCTATGACTCGCACTGTCCCCTTTCCTCCCGACCGGCACGGGCCTCCGTGGCTGAGGGACTCATTGCAAGCTTACAGAACAGGGCTGCGGGCAGCTGAGCAAAAATGGAGGAACACTAAACTTCCGGAGGGCCTATCATCCTTTCCCTTCCTCCTCTCTACCTTCTCTTCCTCTGTATCCACTGCTAAAGCCTCTTTCTATCACTCTAAATTTCAAGTGTCTGTCTCTAACCCTAGGAAACTCTTTTCCACCTTCTCCTCCCTCCTTAATCCTCCACCCCCTCCCTCGTCCCTCTCTGCGGACGAGTTTGTCAACCACTTTGAAAAGAAAGTTGACGACATCCGTTCCTCATTCATTCCGCCTATAAATCCTACGACTATTAAGGTCCGGCCGCCCGACAACCTGCCCGCTCGACCCCATACCCTCCTCCCTTCTCCAGACCATCTCTGGAGACCTCCCGTTCCTCACTTCCCTTATGAACTCATTCCTGATCATTGGCTGCATCCCCTCAGACTTCAAAATGGCCAGAGTCACTCCCCTCCTCAAAAAGCCAACACTCTACTCCTCTGACGTCAAACTGCAGACCGGTATCCCTCCTTTCTTTTCTTTCCAAAACACTTGAGCGTGCTGTCTCTGACCAACTATCTCTCTCAGAATTATCTTCTTGACCCTAACCAGTCAGGCTTCAAGATGGGTCACTCAACCGAGACTGCTGTTCTGTGTCACGGCGGCTCTCCACACTGCCAAAGCTGACTCTCTCCTCTGTTCTCATCCTCCTAGATCTGTCTGCTGCCTTGGACACCATGAACCATCAGATCCTCTTTCCACCCTCAGGGCTTGGCGTCTCAGGCTCTGCACGCTCTTGGATTGCATCTTACCTGGCAGGCCGCTCCTACCAGGTGACATAGAGAGGATCTGTGTCTGTACCACTCTCACTACTGGTGTCCCCCAGGGCTCGCATCTAGGCCCTCTTCTCTCTATACACCAAGTCACTTGGCTCCGTCATATCCTCACATGGTCTTTCTTATCATTGCTATGAGGATGAAACTCAAGTACTTTTCTCCTTCACCCCTTCTGATACCCAGGTGATAATTTTAGCATTTTACCTGCCTACTTACCGTAGATCGCAAGCCAATAATAAGTCAATAGGGCTACCTGGCTAGCTACTAGTACTGTTAGCTAGCCAGATAGCCACGAAGAATTGACATAATATGCATTTTAGGTCATTTTTTTCCTATTAAACTATCTGGTTAGCTACATTATTATGATTCACATATACAGTGCCTTCGGAAAGTATTCAGACCCCTTCACTTTTTCCACATTTGGTTACATTACAGCCTTATTTTAAAATGTATTAAATAACAAATATCCTCAGCAATCTACACACAATACCCCATAATGACAAAGTGAAAACAGGTGTTTAGAAATGTTTGCAAATGTATTCTATTTTTTTTACAAATACCTTATTTACATAAGTATTCAGACCCTTTGGTATGAGACTCGAAATTGAGCTCAGGTGCATCCTGTCATCCTTGATATGTTTCAACAACTTGATTGGAGTTCACCTGTGGTAAAATTAAATTGATTGGACATGATTTGGAAAGGCACACACCTGTCTATATAAGGTCCCACAGTTGACAGTGCATGTCAGAGCAAAAACCTAGCCATGAGGCCGAAGGAATTGTAGAGCTCCGAGACAGGATCTGTGTCGAGGCACAGATCTGGGGAAGGGTACCAAAACATTTCTGCAGCATTGAAGGTCCCCAAGAACACATTGGCCTCCATCATTCTTAAATGGAAGAAGTTTGGAACCACCAAGACTCTTCTTAGAGTTGGCCGCCCGGCCAAACTGAGCAATCGGGGGGGAAGGGTTTTGGTCAGGGAGGTGACCAAGAACCCGATGGTCACTCTGACAGAGCTCTAGAGTTCCTCTGTGGAGATGGTTGTCCTTCTGGAAGGTTCTCCCATCTCTGCAGCACTCCACCAATCAGGCCTTTATGGTAGAGTGGCCAGACGGAAGCCACTCCTCCGTAAAAGGCACATGACAGCCCACTTGGAGTTTGCCAAAAGGCACCTAAAGATTCTCAGACCATGAGAAAAACAAGATTCTCTGGTCTGATGAAACCAAGATTGAACTCTTTGGCCTGAATGCCAACCGTCACATCTGGAGGAAACCTGGCACCATCCCTATGGTGAAGCATGGTGGTGGTAGCATCATGCTGTGGGGATGTTTTTCAGCGGGACTGGGACTGGGAAACTAGTTAGGATCGAGGCAAAGATGAATGGCGCAAAGTACAGAGAGATCCTTGACGAAAACCTGCTCCAGAGCTCTCAGGACCTCAGACTGGGGCGAAGGTTCACCTTCCAACAGGACAATGACCCTAAGCACGTAGCCAAGACAACGCAGGAGTGGCTTCGGGACAGGTCTCTGAATGTCATTGAGTGACCCAGCCAGAGCCCGGACTTAAACCTGATCAAACATCTCTGAAGAGACCTGAAAATGGCTGTGCAGCAACGCTCCCCATCCAACCTGACAGAGCTTGAGAGGATCTGCAGAGAAAAATGGGAGAAACTCTCCAAATACAGGTGTGCCAAGCTTGTAGCGTCATACCCAAGAAGACTTGATGCTGTAATCGCTGCCAAAGGTGCTTCAACAAAGTACTGAGTAAAGGGTCTGAATACTTATGTAAATGTAGATATTTCAGTTATTTTATTTTTAATAAATTAGCAAAAATTTCTGAACCTGTTTTTGCTTTGTCATTATGGGGTATTGTGTGTAGATTGATGGGGGGGAAAAACAATTTAATCAATTTTAGAATAAGGCTGTAACCTAACAAAATGTGGAAAAAGTCAAGGGGTCTGAATACTTTCCCGAAGGCACTGTAGCTGACAGTTATGAAGTAAAACGGTTGCTTTGTGTATGTCTTGTTTAATTTCTACTGCCATTGTTGGCCTGGCTGGAAGACGGTTCAGTGAATGGGTACATCAATAGGGCTAACTGGCTAGCTAGCCATGAAGAATTGGTAGCTACCCACAAAATGTACATCTACCTTGTATGACATTAGTTTTAGGTCATTTTTGCCTGTTTATCTAGCTGGCTAGCTAGATTATTACGATTCACATATCTAGCTGATAGTTATGAAGTAAAACGTTTGCTTTGTGTATACAGTGGGGGAAAAAAGTATTTAGTCAGCCACCAATTGTGCAAGTTCTCCCACTTAAAAAGATGAGAGAGGCCTGTAATTTTCATCATAGGTACACGTCAACTATGACAGACAAAATGAGAAGAAAAAAATCCAGAAAATCACATTGTAGGATTTTTAATGAATTTATTTGCAAATTATGGTGGAAAATAAGTATTTGGTCAATAACAAAAGTTTCTCAATACTTTGTTATATACCCTTTGTTGGCAATGACACAGGTCAAACGTTTTCTGTAAGTCTTCACAAGGTTTTCACACACTGTTGCTGGTATTTTGGCCCATTCCTCCATGCAGATCTCCTCTAGAGCAGTGATGTTTTGGGGCTGTCGCTGGGCTACACAGACTTTCAACTCCCTCCAAAGATTTTCTATGGGGTTGAGATCTGGAGACTGGCTAGGCCACTCCAGGACCTTGAAATGCTTCTTACGAAGCCACTCCTTCGTTGCCCGGGCGGTGGGTTTGGGATCATTGTCATGCTGAAAGATCCAGCCACATTTTATCTTCAATGCCCTTGCTGATGGAAGGAGGTTTTCACTCAAAATCTCACGATACATGGCCCCATTCATTCTTTCCTTTACACGGATCAGTCGTCCTGGTCCCTTTGCAGAAAAACAGCCCCAAAGCATGATGTTTCCACCCCCATGCTTCACAGTAGGTATGGTGTTCTTTGGATGCAACTCAGCATTCTTTGTCCTCCAAACACGATGAGTTGAGTTTTTACCAAAAAGTTATATTTTGGTTTCATCTGACCATATGACATTCTCCCAATCCTCTTCTGGATCATCCAAATGCACTCTAGCAAACTTCAGACGGGCCTGGACATGTACTGGCTTAAGCAGGGGGACACGTCTGGCACTGCAGGATTTGAGTCCCTGGCGGCGTAGTGTGTTACTGATGGTAGGCTTTGTTACTTTGGTCCCAGCTCTCTGCAGGTCATTCACTAGGTCCCCCCTGTGTGGTTCTGGGATTTTTGCTCACCGTTCTTGTGATCATTTTGACCCCACGGAGTGAGATCTTGCGTGGAGCCCCAGATCGAGGGAGATTATCAGTGGTCTTGTATGTATTCCATTTCCTAATAATTGCTCCCACAGTTGATTTCTTCAAACCAAGCTGCTTACCTATTGCAGATTCAGTCTTCCCAGCCTGGTGCAGGTCTACAATTTTGTTTCTGGTGTCCTTTGACAGCTCTTTGGTCTTGGCCATAGTGGAGTTTGGAGTGTGACTGTTTGAGGTTGTGGACAGGTATCTTTTATACTGATAACAAGTTCAAACAGGTGCCATTAATACAGGTAACGAGTGGAGGACAGAGGAGCCTCTTAAAGAAGAAGATACAGGTCTGTGAGAGCCAGAAATATTGCTTGTTTGTAGGTGACCAAATACTTATTTTTTCTCAATTTGTCTGTCATAGTTGACGTGTACCTATGATGAAAATTACAGGCCTCTCTCATCTTTTTAAGTGGAAGAACTTGCACAATTGGTGGCTGACTAAATACTTTTTTCCCCCACTGTATCTTGGAAGAAGGTTCAGTGAATGGGGAGGTGAGTGAGGTAATACAGTAGGGGGAGTGAGAGTGCTTGTCAAATGTATTGTTTTATGCATTCTCCACACTCTCTTCCTCACAAGAACATACTCGAGAACGTGGTCAGAGAATGCACTCGGCGCATGAGCGTGTGGAGCACAGTAGTATGCATATTAAGGAAAAACACCCTGTATTTTATCTGCAAACATCAAAGCAGTGACTCGTTCATTCTCTACAACATCCTTAGAGTACGACCCTACCTCACACAGGAAGCAGCACAGGTCCTAGTCCATCTCCCGTCTGGACTACTGCAACTCGCTGTTGGCTGGGCTCCCCGCTTGTGCCATCAAACCCCTTCAATTTATCCAGAATGCTGCAACCTGCCTGGTGTTCAACCTTCCCATGTTCTTCCATGCCACCCCGCTCCTCCCCACACTCTATTGGCTTCTGGTGGAAACTTGCATCCACTACAAGACCATGGTACTTGTTTACGGAGCAGCAAGAGGAACTGCTCCTCCTTACCTTCAGGCTATGCTCAAACCCTTCACCCCAACCCGAGCACTCCATTCTGCCACCTCTGGTCTCTTGGCCTTCCCACCCCTACGGGAGGGCAGCTCCCGCTCAGCCCATTCCAAGCTCTTCTCTGTCCTGGCACCCCAATGGTGGAACCAGCTTCCCCCTGAAGCTAGGATAGCGGAGTGCCTGCCAATCTTCTGAAAACATCTGAAACCCTACCTCTTCAAAGACGAAACTTTTGTGAACTAACACTCTCACTTTACTTCCCACCCCCCCTACTAGCGCTGACTTTGCTGATAGCTACTTTGAGGAAACATTTACTTACTATGACTGTGATATGTGGTTGTCACAACTAGCTATCTTTAAGATGAATGGACTAACTGTATGTCGCTCTGGATAAGAGCGTCTGCTAAATGACTAAAATGTAAATATAAATTCTTACTCTGAGGTACTCTAACTGCTATGTCTACATCTTGATTTTTGCTTCTCAGGTGGCCAAGTGTGACGCGTGTGAGCGCCAGGGGAAGCTGATTGAGACCCTGCCGATGCTGGGCGAGGTGAAGCACTTTTGCAACCTCCAGTGTCTGCTCGACTTCTGCAGCCTGCAGACCCAGAACCAGGGCAAGCCCCAGGGCCAAAAGGGTAGGACTTATATAATATGTTATAGCACATTGTAATGTTTCATCATAGGGTGTAATGTTTCATCATGTCACTGTGTTTTGGATTATTTCTTTATATTTAACATGTCATTGTGTTGCCTGCCACAGCTCATGTTTTGGAAAGAGAGGTACACATAATGTCATACAGACTTGGAGTCGTCGTCGTCGTCCCCCCCCCTTAAACCTTTTGCTGGTAAAAATAGGAATTACTTGAGATTGAGTCAAAATGGGGGGGTGGGGGGGTTGCGGTGCGCAACTCAATATTAGGAAGGTGTTTCTAATGTTTGGTATACTCAGTGCCTATAGAAAGTCTACACCTCCTTGAACTTTCTTCACATTTTGTTGCGTTACCAAGTGGGATTAAAATAGATATAATTGTAATTTTTTGACATTGATCTACACAAAATACTCCATAATGTCAAAGTGAAAAGAAAATTCTACACATTTTGACAAATTAATACAAATGTAATAACTGAAATATAGTCGTTGCATAAGTATTCACCCCCTTTGTTTATGCAAGTGTAAATTAGTCCAGAAGTAAAAATGTTGCTTACAAATCACAAGTTATATGGACTCACTCTGTGTGAAATAATAGGTGTTGATATAATTTTTTTATGTGACTACCCCTTCCTCTGTCCCCATACATACAACATCTGTAAGGTCCCTCAGTGAAGTATTGAAATTCAAGCACAGATTAAACTACAAAGACCAGGGAGCTTTTTGAAAGCCTCATAAAGAAGGGCAGGGATCGGTAACAATAACAAATCATACATTGAATATATCTTTAAGCATGGTCAAGTTAATAATTATGCTGTGGATGGTGTATTAAACCACCTAGACACATTAAAAATGCAGTCGTCCTTCTGAACATAGACACATGCATACAAACACACAATAACATACGCACTATACACACATGTACACATGGATTTTGTGTTATAGATATGTGGTAGTAGAGTAGAGGCCTGAGGGCACACACTTAATATGTTGTGAAATCTGTTATGAATGTATTGTAATGTTTTTAAAATTTATAACTGCCTTAATTTTGCTGGACCCCAGGAAGAGTATGGGGATCCATAATAAAAACAAATTGAGCTTCGGGACAGGAATGAAACTCCTTAGGGATTTCACCGTGATTTCACCATTGGTGATTTTAAAGCAGCTACAGTGTTCAATGGCTGTGGGGAGAAAACTGAGGATGGATCAACAACATTGTAGTGACTCCACAATAATGACCTAAATTAAAGTGAAAAAAATAATACAGATAAAAAATATTCCAAAACATGCATATGTATGCAACAAGGTACTGATGTAATACTGTAAAAAAAAAAAAACACTGCAAAGGAATACACTTTTTGGCCTAAATGCAAAGCCTTATGTTTGGGGAAAATCCACAACACATCACTGAGTAACTGCTTTTTTTTTTTGTCAAGCATGGTGGTGGCTGCATCATGTTATGGGTATGCTTGACAGGATGAGAAGAAACAGGATGGAGCGAAGCACAGACAAAATCCTTGAGAACTTGCTACAGTCTGCTTTACACCAGACACTGGGAGAGGAATTCAGCTTTCAGCAGAACAACAACCTACAACACAAAGCCAAATCTATACTGGAGTTTCTTTCCAAGAAGACAGGGAATGTTCCTGAGTGGCCAAGTTACAGTTTTGACTTAAATCTGCTTGAAAATGTATGGCAAGACTTGACAGTTGCCGTATAGCCATGATCCCCAACACCTTGAGCTTGAAGAATTCTGAAAATAATAATGGTCAAATATAGGCGATATGCACAGTCGAGCATGACGTATTTCCGGTTAAATCTCAGGATGGATGTAAACTTCCGGTTATCGTAGAATGATGTGCTACCGTATGCTAGCATTGAATGCTTGTCGTCGAAAACATCAGAAAAGGTTAATTTTCGTCGTTGTTGTTGTTTATCTTAATGTTTATGTTAATGTTTTTACTTGTAATACTTCGTCTTGACTTATAACACGATGACGTGTAAACGTACGAAAGTGTCCTTTCAAAAACGGGATGACAGCTCTTCCAGCCATCACTGCTGTGTGCCGCAATGTACAGTGTCTGGCAGATGCAATTCTTCTGTTAGTTTTTTTTACTTTTCCCAAAGACAGTGAATTACATAAACGGTGGGTGATTAACATTCGACGAGTCAACTTTCTTACAACAGACACACGAGTCTGCAGCCGACACTTTCTAAGTGAAGATGTGATGGAGCCTCCGACTCCAGCTGGGCGCAGACGTCTGAAGAAGGGAGCTGTTCCAGTGCTGTTTCAATGGAACCATTGTTCGTGGTTTATGCCACTTCTGCTCTGTTTCAGTGCACGAAAGTACAGGAGGGACGACGGACATGCCACGTTCAGAGTAATGGGCAGTCTGGTATAGTAATGCAACCAAATGATTGCATATGCCACACAGGAACAGTAGCTTTTAACAAGCACAACTGGCTGTGAATCACGCAATGTCATCTGAAATACACAGAAGCATAATTTTAATGGGTTTTGAAAGACGAGGGTCTACAGCAGCAGGAGTAGGAGCAAAACTTGTTCTTTCTACTTTTTACTGGTGTAAGCAACTTATCTACTGTCTTGTCACTTTTGTGCTTTCTGCATCACTTTCCTACTGTCTTGCACCACTTGGCTATACTGTCTCCCACCACTTACCTATTGTCCATTTGCCATTTACCTACCTTCAAACAGTATTGGCAGAGCAGTAGGTGAGTGGTGCAACATTGTAGCCTAGTACCAATTTGAAGAATAGCTGAGTGGAATATGTTACTGTCATTGCAGTCATCAAGTCAGGAAAAAGTAGTAATCTCATTATTGTTTACATTTCAAACCAAACTCCAATTTGTTTACAACAGACCCAACAACAAAGCATGGCAATTCCCACTCAGCTACCCTGGTCTGTATTAGGCTACCACTGTTCAGCTATCGTGAAAACCACTAAAGTTCTAAAGTGTTCTCTTAGCAATGGCAATCAAAGCTGTGGTAACATTAAACGAGTAAAACGTGTTGAACGGAACCTTGAACAAGTTCAACAGAACTTTGAACGTGTCACTTAATCTAGTCCTACTCTCAGCTGGTGTGGTGGCTTTAGTTTCTTCATTGAGCGGTAGCAGTGGGCTCTCACAGAGATCTCATTTGTAGCCCTGTTTTTACCTGATACTTTCGTAAGTCGCTCTGGATAAGAGCGTCTGCTAAATGACGTAAATGTAAATGTAAAATAAAAGTACAAACACATGAAGTGAGAGGTATATACACATGGTTAAACTTTATTTAAAGCATGATTAACCTGAAGCAGGACGGAGTCATGACTTAAAACACCAAAGCAAGGCTTCTAGCTCAGGCTAGCTAGCGTTAGCATATTACCTTCAAAGTTGCAAAGAAAAGAAGAAACGTAACATTTGAAGCCTTTATCCAGTTTGCTACGGGGTGTCGTACTGGATGTCCGGACGACCCTCCGTATATCATTAACAGATACTTTAGGCAACTCCAGCAAACACCTTGTAAACTTCATCTCTGCCATCATAACGGTCTACTGTCACTGTCTGGTTTTTTCCGGTAACCGGAAATGCCCAAGCATCCTTACGCCAATGCGGAAGTGATGCGTGCATAGAGCCTATTGCACAATACAGGAGTGCAAAGCGCTGAGGCTTACCCAAGAAGAGTCACAGCTGTAATCGCTCCTAAAGTTGTCTTCTAACACGTATTGACTCAGGGAGGTGAATACTTATCTAATCAAGGTATATCAGTGTTTTATTTTTAATAATCTTTATAAAATGTTATAATATTTCTTCCACTTTGACATTTAGAGTATTTTGTGTAGATCGTTGACAAAAAATGTACAAATCCATTTTAATCCCACTTTGTAACACAATAAAATGGGAAGAAATCCAAGGGGGGTGTAGACTTTCTATAGCCACTGTGTAACGATTGCAACATTTCTCACTATCATTCTCTCTCATTCTTTGTCTCTTCCACTCATCCTTCCAGTGGCCATCTCAATCGCTCCATCCCCATCCAATACTACCACTGCTACGAGCATGTCTGATCCAGTCATCGCCAATGTAGTCTCACTAGCCAGCTCCCCCATTGGCCAGCCCAACTACACCACTACTGCACTGCAAGGTATGCGCACACAGACTCGGTTACCAGTTAAATACTATTTGCTGTATACACACTGGTATACAGACAAGGTGTTGTACACTATTAAGTGTAACCGGAGAGTTTTCAACCAGAGAGTGTTGATTCATTAGTAAATGTCTTTGAATAGGGTTAAATTGTTGTTGCTAATAGCGTAGCCTGTTGACACCCATTAAGGTGCAGGTTAATTACAGATGATTTTAGATTGATAAATGATCTCATTAGCAGGCCTGACTGACTGGCTGTGGTGTTTTTATACTGACTCATGTTCTGTTGCGTCATCACAGGGACTGTTCAAAGCAGACATGTGAAGTATGTTGGAAATGTAAGTTGTGCATATGTTCTTTTTGTGTCAAGAACTGCAACACTGCTGGGTTTTTCACGCTCAACAGTTTCCTGTATGTATCAAGAATGGTCCACCACCCAAAGGACATCCAGCAAACTTGGCACAACCTTCAGAAGCTTTGGAGTCACTATAGGCCAGTTTCCCTGTGGAATGCTTTCGACCCGAGTCCATTCCCCGACAAATTGAGGCTGTCCTGAGGGCAAGGGTGGGGGGGGGGATGTGCAACTCAATATTAGAAAGGTGTTCCTAATTAAAAAAGCCTTTGATATTTTTCCGCTAATTGGTCTTTTGACCAATCAGATCAGATATTTTGCAAATAATTGGGCAAAAGATCAGTATTTGTCTCACTGTGTAAACGCAGCCTAAGTCCTGTATTTATGTCAATGGGAAACTAAGTGAAATTCAAGTGGAATTAGGTTTGGCCAATGGTTACTAACAGTCTGTCTTCATTGTGTGGCAGGCCAGCACACAGACACAGGCTCCTCGGGCCCCTCCACCCAAGGCTCAGAAGAACAAGGCCCTGCTCTGTAAACCCATGGTCCAGAACAAGGGCATCATGTGTAAACCCAACTTCACCACCACAGGGTGCCAGACAGGTACAACACCATACACACACAGCCTATATACCATACGCACTACTTGTATTTATGTGCACACAAGAAAATACAAAACAATATGAAGGTTTAAAAGGTAAACAAACTATGATAGGCCATTGAATACATACACTATACATACAAAAGTAAGTGGACACCCCTTCAAATTAGTGGAATCAGCTATTTCAGCCACACATATCCATGCAATCTCCATAGAGAAACATTGGCAGTAGAATTAGGTCCCCTGTAGCTCAGTTGGTAGAGCATGGCGCTTGCAACGCCAGGGTTGTGGGTTCGTTTCCCACGGGGGACCAGTATGAAAATGTATGTACTCACTAACTGTAAGTCGCTCTGGATAAGAGCGTCTGCTAAATGACTAAAATGTAAATGTACATCATACAGTACATTTCACAAAATAATAGAATGGCCTTACTGAAGAGCTCAGTGACATTCAACGTGGCACCGTCATAGGATGCCACCTTCCCAACAAGGCAGTTCATCACATTTCTGCCATGCTAGAGCTGTCCCGGTCAACTGTAAGTGCTGTTAATGTCTAGTGGAAATATCTAAGTGCAGCAACGGCTCAGCCGCGAAGTGGTAGGCCACAAGCTCACAGAACGGGACCGCCGAGTGCTGAAGCGCGTAGAAATTGTCTGTCCTCACTTGCAACACTCACTACCGAGTTCCAAACTGCCTCTGGAAGCAACGTCAGCACAATAACTGTTAGTCGGGAGCTTCATGAAATGGGTTTCCATGGCCGAGCAGTCGCACACAAGCCGAAGATCACCATGCGCAATGCCAAGCGTCGGCTGGAGTGGTATAAAGCTTGCCGCCATTGGACTCTGGAGCATTGGAAATGCGTTCTCTGGAGTGATGAATCACGCTTCACCATCTGGCATTCCGGGTACGAATCTGGGTGTAGCGGATGCCAGGAGAATGCTACCTGCCTGAATGCATATTGCCAACTGTAAAGTATGGTGGAAGAGGAATAATGGTTTGGGGCTGCTTTTCATGGTTCTAGTGAAGGGAAATCTTAACACTACAGCATGCAATGACATTCTAGACGATTCTGTGCTTCCAACTTTGTGGCAACAGTTTGGGGAAGGCCCTTTCCTGTTTCAGCATGACAATGCCCCCGTGCACAAAGCGAGGTCCATACAGAAATGGTTTGTTGAGATCGGTGTGGAAGAACTTGACTGGCCTGCTCTGACCTCAACCACATTGAACACCTTTTGGGATTAATTGGAACGCCGACTGCGAGCCAGGCCTAATCGCCCAACATCAGTGCCCGACCTCACTAATGCTCTTGTGGCTGAATGGAAGCAAGTCCCCGCAGCAATGTTCCAACATCTTGTTGAAAGCCTTCTCAGAAGAGTGGAGGCTGTTATAGCAGCTAAAGGGAGACCAACTCCATGTTAATGCCCATGATTTTGGAATGAGATGTTCGACGAGCGGGTGTCCACATAATTTTGGTAATGTAGTGTACATATTCAAAGGCTCACACATACATCTACATTTTGTATTTCTATTTAACTTGACATTGTTGGTCCACAGATGATAATTTCCCCAAGGTAATCATAGTGCCTGTCCCAGTACCAGTGTATGTCCCAGTCCCCATGAACCTGTACACCCAGTACACCCCCCAGCCTGTTGGACTCCCCATACCGGTATGTTAACACCCAACACTACCTAGCCTTCACCTCAGTCAGTCACATAGTCACACAGATTTCTCCTCAAATTCTCTCAAACAAGAGCTGTGTGCTCTGGACTAATTTTAAAACCAACTAGCATTGAATAGTAGTTTGAGGTTAGCTGATACATACTCTTGCAGAACAGAAGAGCAACATGAACAAAACATTGCAGCCCTCTCTCAGCCTCCACATCTAACCTTTTATCTGTCCCGTTTCCAGCTGCCCGTGCCCATGTTCCTGCCGGTGACCCTGGACAACGCTGAGCGCATCATGGAGACCATCCAGGACATCAAGGAGAAGATCCCCTCTGACCCGTTCGAAGCAGACCTCATCCTCATGGCCGAGATGGTAGCTGAGGAGGGGAGGGAGAAGTCCCCACAGCGACCCCCTGAAAGGCCAGCCCCAGCAGTACAAGACGGTAACCAGGGGAGGGAGTCAGGGAGTGGGATTGGGATGAGACCTGGGTCATGTTCATTATGCACCAAATGGAAGAAAACAGACTGCAACATGAAGAGATTACCTGGACTTGCAAAACATTTTCTGTTGCGGGGCTTAATGAACATGAGCCAGTTCGGTAATCAGAGTTAAACAGTAGGCACTGGCTTTGAACCTGTGAGACCCTCTCTATGGCTTCATAGGCCAAGCTACAGCTGTGAAAGCGTGATATAACTGGGGTTTCTTGGCGCTTCCACCAAGTCGCTCTTTTAAAAGCAATTCACAGCTGAATGAGACTCTAAAATGCTATTGGTCATTTGAATTCCGCGTTATATTTCAGGTAATGTATTGGTTCATTGAGCTTATTTTCCCCCTTTTCAGATATGAGAAGTTTGCCTCGCCTCACTACTATAGATTCCTCTTTTTTAACCCTTATTGTAGGTAAGTTGACTGAGGATATATTCTCCTTTGCAGCAACCACCTGGGGAATAGTTGCAGGGGTGAGGGGATGAATGAGCCAATTGGACAGCTAGGGGTGATGTGGTGACCATGGTGGTATGTGGGCCAGGCTGGGACTTTTAGGACTTTGTCTATCCTAAGTTGAATGCACCAATTTGTAAGTCGCTCTGGATAAGAGCGTCTGCTAAATGACTTAAATGAAAATGTAAATGTCTAGAACAAAAAAGAACAACCAAACTCTGAGGGATGTGGGAGATGATAGATAACACTTTATTTTACAGCCCAGTTTAAGATGGTACTTACCTGGTGTTTACAGTGCCTTCAGAAAGTATTCACACCTTGGATTTTTCCACATTTTGTTGTAACCAGAATTGAATAAAAAAATAGACTTGATATGTTTTTGTCACTGGCCTACACACAATAACCCATAATGTCAAAGTGGAATTACAGTGCATTCGGTAAGTATTCAGACCCCTTCACTTTTTCCACATTTTGTTACAGCCTTATTCTAAAATTGATTAAATTGTTTACCCCCTCATCAATCTACACACAATACCCCATAATGACAAAGCAAAAACAGGTTTTTATAAATTTTTGCAAATGTATAATTTTTTTTTACATAAGTATTCAGAACCTTTACTCAGTACTTTGTTGAAGCACCTTTGGCAGCGATTACAGCCTCAAGTCTTCTTGGGTATGATGCTACAAGCTTGGCACACCTGTATTTGGGGAGTTTCTCCCATTTTTCTCTGCAGATCCTCTCAAGCTCTGTCAGGTTGGATGGGGAGCGTTGCTGCACAGCTATTTTCAGGTCTCTCCAGAGATGTTCGATCGGGTTCAAGTCCGGTCTCTGGCTGGACATTCAGAGACTTTTCCCGAAGCCACTCCTGCGTTGTCTTGGCTGTGTGCTTAGGGTCATTGTCCTGTTGGAAGGTGAACCTTCGCCCCACTCTGAGGTCCTGAGCGCTCTGGAGCAGGTTTTCATCAAGGATCTCTCTGTACTTTTCTCCGTTCATCTTTCCCTCGATCCTGACTAGTCTCCCAGTCCTTGCCGCTGAAAAACATCCCCACAGCATGATGATGATGCTGCCACCACCATGCGTCATTGTAGGGATGGTGCCAGGTTATGATGGTGCCAGGTTTCCTCCAGATGTGACGCTTGGCATTCAGGCCAAAGAGTTCAATCTTGGTTTCATCAGACCAGAGAATCTAGCTTCTCATGGTCTGAGAGTCCTTTAGGTGCCTTGTGGCAAACTCCAAGCGGACTGTCATGTGCCTTTTACAGAGGAGTGGCTTCCGTCTGGCCACTCTAACATAAAGGCCTGATTGGTGGAGTGCTGCAGAGATGGTTGTCCCCCCTGACCAAGGCCCTTCTCCCCCTATTGCTCAGTTTGGCCTGTCGGCCAGCTCTAGGAAGAGTCTTGGTGGTTCCAAACTTCTTCCATTTAAGTATGATGGAGGCCACTGTGTTCTTGGGGACCTTCAATGCTGCAGACATTTTTTGGTACCCTTTCCCTATATCTGTGCCTCGACACAATCCTGTCTCGGAGCTCTACGGACAATTCCTTCGACCTCATGACTTGGTTTTTGCTCTGACATGCACTGTCAACTGTGGGAACTTATATAGACAGGTGTGTGCCTTTCCAAATAATGTCCAATCAATTGAATTGACCACAGGTGAACTCCAATCAAGTTGTAGAAACATCTCAAAGATGATCAATGGAAACAGGATGTACCTGAGCTCAATTTCGAGTCTCATAACAAAGGGTCTGACCACTTATGTAAGTAAGGTATCGTATTATTTTTTGTATTACATTTGCAAAAATGTCTGAACCTGTTTTTGCTTTGTCGTTATGGGGTATTGTGTGTAGATTGATTAAGGAACATTTCATTTCATCCATTTTAGGTTAAGGCTGTAACGTAATTTTTTTTGGGAAAAGTGAAGGTCAGAATACTTTCTGAATGCACTTTTTCATTTTTTTGGGGACAAATTAATGAAAAGCTGAAATGTCTTGAGTCAATATGTATTCAACCACTTTGTTATGGTAAGCCTAAATAAGTTCAGGAGTAAATATTTGCTTAACAAGTCACATAATAAGTTGCAAGGACTGTGTGAAATAAGTGTTTAACATGATTTCTGAATGACTACCTCATCTGTGTACCCCACACATAAAATTATCTGTAAGGTCCCTCAGTCGAGCAGTGAATTTCAAACACAGATTCAACCATCCCTTTGAGCATGGTGAAGTTATTAATTACACTTTGGATGGTGTATCAATAAACCCAGTCACTACAAAGATACAGCCGTCCTTCCTAACTCCGTTGCTGGAGAGGAAGGAAACCACTCAGGGATTTCACCATGAGGCCAATGGTGACTTTAAAACAGTTACAGAGTTTAATGGCTGTGATAGGAGGAACCTGATGGATCAACAACATTGTAGTTACTTCTCAATACTAACCTAATTGACAGAGTGAAAAGAAAGAAGCCTGTACAAATATTCCAAAACCAGCATGCGGTTTGCAACAAGGCACTAAAGTAATACTGCAAAAGATGTGGCAAAAGCAATTCACTTTTTGTCCTGAATACAAAGTGTTACGTTTGGGGCAAATCCAATACAACACATTACTGAGTACCCCTCTGCATATTTTTAAGCATAGTGGTGGCTGCATCATGTTAGGGATATGCTTGTAATCATTAAGGACTGGGTGGTTTTTAAAGATAAAAAAAATTAACGGGATGAAGCTAAGCACAGGCAAAATCCTAGCGGAAAACCATGTCTGCTTTCCACCAGACACTGTGAGATGAATTTGTAAACAATAACAATAACGTAAAACACAAGGCCACATCTACACTGGAGTTGCTTACCAGTTTTGACTTATAGTAAATCTTCTTGAAAATCTACGGCAAGAACTGAACATGGTTATCTAGCAATGATCAACAACCAATTTGACTGAGTTTGAAGAATTTAGAAAATAACAAATGGGCAAATGTTGCACAATCCAGGTTTGGAAAGCTCTTAGAGAATTACCCAGAAAGACTCACAGCTGTAATCGCTGCCAAAGGTGATTCTAACGTGTTGACTCAAAGGGTTGAATACTTACAGTATCTAATCAAGATATATTAGTATTTTTTTTATTTTATTTTTTACAAATGTTAATGCCTTCCACTAGTATTTTGTATAGATCGTAAAAAAAACTAAAATAAACGATTAAATCAATTTTAATCCCACTTTGTAACAACAGAATGTGGAAAAAGTCAAGGGGTGTGAATACTTTCTGAAGGCACTGTACATAGTATTAACAAAGAAACTTATGTAGTAACAATAGTTTCTGGTACTTACCTCAAATAATTCAACACTAGTAACTACATGGTGATGTCAAAGAAACTATGTAATTAATAATACAATTTTAACAAGTAGTTCCTACTTAACTGTCAAGTAAATAACGGGCTGTAAAATAGAGGGGTTACCGATTTAAAAAAATATTTTGAGAGCTGTCCCATAACTTGAATGCTTTTGTGTTTTCTCTTCGGGGACCAGACCAGGGCAGCACCTACAGTGGAGACCTGGACACAGAAGAACTGAGCAACTTCCTCACCACTTGGGATGACGTGCCACCCCCCACCCCTGGCGTCTCCTCGCGCCAAAGTCGACCCTATGCCCACGAGACACTCCGACCCATCATGGACATCCAGTCTCCCACCACCCCCCCACCCCCCATCATGGATATAGAGGCTGACTTCCCTGTCCGTGAGTGATGCTCGACTTTTACACCTCCCCGGAGTTATCAGGGATTCCTGATTTGAGCATTGTTTACATGGACCCAGTCTGAGACCTTTTTTCTGAAGTTTCCCAGTATGACTTGTAGAGTACTTATACCTTGGTTGAAAACTGTCAATCTTTGATGAGGGTAATTATATGGTCAAAACATATTTACTTTATAGTGAATGGCTTCTAGCTCTATATAGTTTCATCTTTCAACTGTCCTGTTATGTTTTAACCATGTAACAAGCATCAGTAAGTCAAACCCTTCTTTGATACTACACACTGCAATTCAGCTGGCCTCATTCTCATTGTAGTCTATGTTGTAGTCAAATATCTGTATCCTTTTGTCAGAAACCCTGGAGCTGATGGCCCATTGGAGGGATCAGGAGAGGGATAGAAGTCCCAGTCCTCCACCTTCTCCTCCACGACGAAGAGCCAGAAGGAAAGCTCGGGATGGCTTGCCACAGAAGAAAAAGGTACGAGCCCCAAAAAGTAGTCTAAATGAGACCCCTTTCAAAGAGCGCCTTCAGCTATTTATTTCCGTATTTCGACTCCCAGCAGTACTTTTTTAATTTCTTTCAATTTCCCTCATTCTTTGTAATTGTGGGTAACACTTTACTTGACGCTGGGCTTCCAAGTAAAGTGTTACCTAATTCGGTGGGTGTGTGTGACTACCCCGTTGACCCCACAGAGGCGTAAGTCGAGAGCAGCAGAGACTGGATCAGTGGTGGCGTCACTGGGTGAGGCACAGAGTGACGTGGTGCCCGGCGAGCCCCCTAAACTGCAGCACGTGTACGGGGTGGACGCCTGGAAGAGATGGGTCCAGTGGAGCAAGACCCAGCCTGACCTGGAGAAGCCTCGATTTGGCTGTGAGTCTGCTCACTGATACACTTGTGCTCACACAGGCAAACATGACTATTATGACTGTCAATTTGAATTCATTTCCTGAAATCCTGATATCACACATTTTGTTGAATTTCTTCTTCCTCACTTACTGCATCCGTATGAATTGAACCTACCTCTTAATTGCCTATGGGAATCATTTAACTCGGTAGACTGAATAAGTTAACCTTGGCGTTCTGTTCCCCCTGTTACAGCGCGGCCAATGGAGATAAAGGAGGATGTTTTAAAGTGCACTACAGCAGAGCTGGGCTACGGTCTCTGTCGGTTTATCTGTGAAGTTAAACGACCCAACGGAGAGTCCTACAGCCAGGACAGTCTGTTCTATCTCTGCCTCGGCATCCAGCAGGTAGGACACACACACTGACAGACATTAACACATTCACACACAGATACACACACTCACTTCTGATTATGTAATTCTGTTAAATGTAATGCATAATGGCCCCTCTTTCTGCAGTACTTATTTCAGAATGGGCGCATGGAGAACATATTCACTGATCTCTTCTATGGCAAGTTCACGCTGGAGATCACCAAGCTGCTGAAAGGCTTCAAACCTACCATAACGGCCAGTGGTAAGACAACACATATACACACACTCATAAACCCAGTGGGGAAAGTAAAGTTTAACAAAGAAATGATAATAAGGCCTTTGCTTTGACCTCTCTTATTCCATCTCTTATCTCACTCATCCTTCAGCTTAACTCACTCTCTCTCTCCCCCTCTCTTGCTTTCCTTTCATGTATGGTGGGCTGATGGCGTTGGGATTGTGTTATTAGTGTGCTTATTGAAAGGTCTTTAATGTTGGAATCTCTCTCCCAGGCTACCTGCACTCGCGGGTGGAGGAGGAGTACCTGTGGGACTGTAAACAGCTGGGGGCCTACTCCCCCATCGTGCTGCTCAACACGCTGCTCTTCTTCTGCACCAAGTTCTTCCAGTTCAAAACAGTGGCCCAGCACCGCCAGCTCTCCTTCGCCCACGTCATGCGCTGCACCAAGTCCATCCACGACAACACCAAGTCCAACTTCCTGCGCTTCTACCCGCCCATCCCCAAGAAGGACCTGGCTACCGAAACAGCAGGTGCTTTGTCTATTTAGTTTTTTCCTCCTTCACTCTCCTCTCTACCCTTCGCTTTTGTCTTGTTCATGTATTTTTTTGTGCTTTCTGAAACTGTGTTTTGCATATGTTTCTGCTCCGATAAAACATTGCAGGTTTCTACTTTTATTTTTGTTCTAGTTTTTTTTCTAGTTTTCTTAATCAGTTTGTTTCGTGCATTACAACTTACACCCGAGTAGAACTATTGGAATACGAATCTCTGGGTACTCACCGTCCACCCGACCTCCCCGAAATCCCTGAGACCGCAAAATAATGGACTAGCTTCTTCGAGGCACCGAGCTGCTTGGGAGTCCTACCGGAGAGTAGGAAGTGTAGACACCGATGGAGAGGCAGACGTGGGGGGTCTCAGTGAGATTAAGACGCTGGGCTACCAGTCCTCCATTACCAAGCATACTACTCGCAAATGTTCAAACATTAATGAACATGACAAACTCAGAGCGAGGATCTCCTTCCAGAGGGACATCAGATCCTGCAACTTATTTTTCGGAGACTTTGCTTTCCTCCGACATACAAATGGATTATATACATTATATACATATTTACAGTTTTTCGAGCGGATAGGAAGCGGCCTCTCTCTGTCAAGAGCAAAGGTGGTGGGCTCTGCTTTATGACCAACAACCTATGGTGCAACGGAGGAAATGTACAGGAACTTGCGAGCTTCTGCTCTCCCCCGACTTGGAATACCTGGTCATCAAATATCGCCCTTTTTACCTTCCGAGAGAGTTCTCAGGGATTATCGCCATGGCTGTGTACATCCCGCCCCAAGCCGACACCAAAAAGGCTCTCAAAGATCTTCATTGGACCCTGAACAAACTGGTGACCGCTTTCCCGGAGGCAGCGTTCATTGTTTGCGGAGGACTTTAACAAAAGTAATTTGAGAACCATGCTCCCAAATTATTACCAACACATCGACTCTCTAACTCGCAGAAATTCTACGCTTGACCACTGCTACACGCCTTTGACACGGGTATAAGGCCCTCTCCCGTCCTCCTTTCGGCAAATCCAACCATGACTCCATCTTGCTTCTCCCCGCCTACAAACAAATCCTAGAGGGAAGTTCTGGTGGTCAGGTCTATACAGCGTTGGTCCGACCAATCAGAATTCACACGCCAAGACTGTTTTGATCACGTGGACTGGAATATGTTCCAGGTTGCCTCTGGAGATAACATCAATGAATACGCCGACTCAGTCACCGGATTAATAAAAAAATGCGTAGATGACGTGATAGCAATAGTGTCTTTCAAAACGTTCCCGAATCAAAAAACGAGGATTGATAGCAGCCTTGTAGGAAAACAGAAAGAGATGCTGCTTATAAACAGGGCAAGGTGACCGGGGACAATAGTTTGGTTAAAGTAGAAATACGACCTACGCAGATCGATCAAGATGGCGAGACACAAGTATAGGGACAAAGTGGAGGAGGAATTCAGTGGGTCTGACACAAGGAGTATGTGGCAGGGGCTCCTAACGATCATGAATTACAAAAGGAAAGCCAGCCACATCGGTCACCAAAGGCACCCTACCGGAGGAGCTAATCACCTTTTTCGAGCATAATGACCCTGAGCTGCCGGCCCTGATGACAACATGGGCTACACACTGTGTCCACTGAGGACGTATGTAAGTTATTCAAACGTGTTAACCCTCGCAAGGCTGCCGGCCCAGACGGCATCCCTAGCCGTGCCCTCAGGTAAACAACCTCTCACTCAACGTCAGCAAAACAAAGGAGCTGATTGTGGACTTCAGGAGGAACCAGGCTGGACACGCCCCCATCCTCAACGGGGCCGCCATCAAATTCATATCTGAGAAGCGGAAATGGTCTAACCACTGGACACTGTGGTGAAGCAGGCACGACAGCAACTCTTCAACATCAGGATGCTGAACAAGAAATTCGTCCTGTCCCCGAATGCCCTCGCAGTGTTTTATAAGAGCACCATCGAGAGCATACTGTCGAGCTGCGTCACAGCCTGGTACGGCAACTCCACCGCCGCTGACTGCAAGGCGCTTCAGAGGGTGATGTGTGCAGCCGAACGCACCATTGGGTGCACACTACCTGCCCTATAGGACACCTACATCACCAACTATCGCAGGAAGGCCAAGAAGATCATCAGGGACCCCAGTCACGCCCTGTTCTCCCCGCTTCAATCACTCAGACGCAGGCAGTACAGGAGCATCATGGGAAAAAAATTGAAGACTGCCCCCCCCCCCCCCAACGGGCACTTATCTTACCTGCTGCTCCCCCTATGGACATTCATCACTGTTGCAGTTGTTAATATGTATGGTATTGATTTTTATTCATGATCATTTTTATTTTCATTTCACTTGGTCACTTGGTCCCCACGCCCCCTCAATGGTCATGGTGCTCCCCCTATGGTCACCCCCCCCAAACAGTCTTTACTCTGCCTCACCCCAACAGTTAAACTGTATAGTAATATACATTTTACATTTTAGTCATTTAGCAGACGCTCTTATCCAGAGCGACTTACAGTTAGTGAATACATATTTTTTTAAATGTATACTGGCCCCCGTGTGAATCGAACCCACAACCCTGGCGTTGCAAACGCCATGCTCTATCAACTGAGCTACTCCCCTACCCTGGACGACGCTGGGCCAATTGTGCGCCGCCCATGAGTCTCCCGGTCGCGGCCGGCTGCGACAGAGCCTGGATTCGAACCAGGATCTCTAGTGGCACAGTTAGCACTGCGATGCAGAGCATTAGACCACTGCGCCACTCAGGAGAATATATTTCTATTGTTGTTTTTTTATTACAATTTTTCATTTAATTTCACTTAGTCCTGCATGTTGGAGCTCCCGGCCTAAGGTTTTCACTGTACCCTGCCATCACACCTGCAACCCTGTACATGACTATTAAACACTCAATCTCTGAATCTGAGTGTTGCCCTCAAGGTTTCTTCCTAATTAGGGAGTTCTTCCCTTGCCACTGTTGCCTTGACTAACGGGATTTATGTGTAGGTTGCTGTTTTTACTAATGCATTTGTAAAAAGTATGACAGATCAAATTGGATTCGTATGTAATCATGGACCTGTGTGTGTAGCAGATGCAGACGGTGTGGCAGCGAAGAGGAAGCGGGATGACGAGGAGAAAGAGGAGGTGCTGGAGATGATGGAGAACAGTGAGAATCCCCTCCGCTGTCCTGTCCGATTGTACGAGTTCTACCTCTCCAAGTGGTGAGTGACACAGGCACACTGTATCTCCCTATGCTGCAGGCCAATCTAACCTAGTAGTGTAACCTCAAATTGTTCTTGACATTGCTTTTCAAAACTCTGCTTTTCTGAGATCTTTCCTCATATCACTGAAAATGAGCCCTCTCTAACACAGAGCTCTCCTCACCCTCTTCTGTCCTCCAGCTCGGACTCTGTGAAGCAGCGCACCAACGTGTTCTTCCTGCTACCGGAGCGCTCATGCGTCCCCAACAGCCCCATGTGGTTCTCCTCCCAGGGCCTGGACGACCACACTCTGGACACCATGCTGACACGCATCCTCACCGTCAGGGAGATCCATCTGGGAGACCCCCAGAGGAACAAGCCCCAGTCCAAGGACCCTGAGTGGACCCCCGACCAACACAGCGACAACTCGGATTGACCATGATGAGGGGTACACACAGTTAAGCTTTTGTTTACACACTCACACTACGTGTTGATCCGTAAGGACTCCTGGGATCCACCTCCAGCCGTGTGTGAAGAGGAGTGTGTTCACACAGTTATAAACTGAGAATGTGTCATGTACACACATTGTGTAGGAGATGTGTGTACACGCAATTATAAACTGATGCTCAACTGCTCAATGGAGACACTGTTCATGCTGTCTGGTCACTACAAGGCAAATGGAGGAAAAAGTAGGAGAAATCACTTTAAGAACCTCCATACTGCCTTTGTCAGCATTATTGCGGTCATAGAGAAAAACAAGTCTGGTTAACAAGCTCTTTAACTTCACCATAGGAGAGAGACGATGCTCTCCAGCACTATTAACATGGACTCAGATTGGGAAAATGGTAAAAAGATTTGAAGAAGTTGGCAATCCCATATCTGACCAGGCCCTTTCTACTGCTTATATTCCCTGTCTTCTCTTTCTGTATTGGATCACTACAGAAATTACGATGTATTGAAAAGAATGCCAGTGATTACAGATGTCAGCAAAGTTGTTTTATGTGATTTTGTATGTTAAAGAAAATATGAAGACTATTTCTGGGATTAGCCTTGTTGTTTTGGGAATTAGATAATATTGTACTAACACCGAATGATATAATTTGCTGTCAGTGGTGTTGTCCATTGCCTACTAAAATTGATGGCTGGCAGACATTCCTTGAATTGACTGTGAGTTATATTTGGAGTCATATCAACTTGTCAAAATGCTTGATGTCACATCAGTGCTCCCACATGCATACACAAGCAAGCATGTATAATGTTGGAGGAAAGAATGTGTCATTCTGTGTTTCCTTATTTAGAACACTTGTGATGTCAGGAAAGAGGACCTATAATTGTTTGTTCATTTGGAAAGACAAGCATTTACCTTGCAAGTGCTCCCCATACTAGTTCAAAATTGCTTTTTTTAATAAAATATTATTTTTAAATAAATGCTGAAAAACAAATGTTTACCTTTGGAAGCTTTATTAATGCAAATAATTTCATATGATTTAGACCTGAACTAAATCTAAGAAGCATGCTCAAAGTGAAGCTCTGATACATTTTTGGTCAGTCAGTTTTAGAAGGCAGTTAGATTTACAACATAGCAAAGCAGTATTACAGTAAAACTTCAGTCATCAGCTCACAAACCCTTTTACTCCTCATTCATCAATGCTAGCAAACTTGATACTTGAAATGTACTATTTGAAATATATAATATTCTTTCTATTTGGATCTAGAGGTGTGTTGTCCACCCAGAATTCTATACTATTAGTTATACACAGTAGAATAGCCTTAAATTATTGTAGAAAATGTATAATTGTATTTACAGCTTAGGAATTTAATAGGAATGCAATTGCTCCAGATGCAATTCATTACATTGTCAGTCAATAGAGTCAAAGCTACATGCTCCTCTGGGCTGTCTATGATGATCAGGTGTCCCCCCCCATGGAGACAGTCATCCTGACTCTGTCCAGGTCAGTGTATTACTAGATAAACAATACTTAAGCCCATCATGCATCCAGCCATCAGCACATAGTGCCTTCAGAAAGTATTCACACCCCTTTACTTTTCCACATTTTGTTGAGTTACAGCCTGAATTTCAAATTGATTAAATTTAGATTGTCACTGATCTACACACACTACCCCATAATGTCAGTGGGATTTTGTTTGTAGAACATTTTAGAAATTAATAAAAAATGTCAAGCTGAAATGTCTTTAGTCAACTATTCAATCCCTTTGTTATGGCAGGCCTAAAAATAGTGCTTAACATCATTTTGGAATAACTACCCCATCTCTGTACCCCACACATACAAATATCTGTAAGGTCCCTCAATCGAGTAGTGAACTTCAAACACAGATTCAACCACAAAGACCAGGGAGGTTTTTCAATGCCTCGCAAAGAAGGGCACCGATTTGGTAGATGTGTAAAAATAAAAAAGCAGATTCTAAATATCCCTTTGAGCATGGTGAAGTTATGAATTAGGCTTTGTATACACCCAGTCACTACAAAGATACAGGTGTCCTTCCTAACAGTAGCCGGAGAGGAAGGAAACTGTTCAGGGATTTCACCGTGAGGCCAATGGTGATTTTAAAACAATTCCAATTTTTAATGGTTGTTATGAGAACTGAGGATGGATCAACATCAGTTACTCCACAATACTAACCTAAATGACAGCAGTAGGAATACAAGGATACAACTCTATAGAAAATACAGGAATGTCTACCGGGGAGGTGTTGCTGTATATATTCAGAGCCATATTCCTGTAAAGCTCAGAGGATCTCATGACAAATGAAGTAGAAGTGCTGTTCACCTGCCTCATCTGAAGCCTCTTTTAGGGTGTTGCTATAGGCCACCAAGCGCAAACTGTCAGTATCTGGAGAATGTGTGTGATTTTAGATAAGGTCTGATGCTAACAGAGAAATGTATTTTCTTGGTGACCTGAACATTGACTTGTTGTCCTCTCGAGGAAGCTTCTTACTGTGACTAATGCCTGTAACATGACCCAGGTTGTCACTCAACCAACTAGAGTGTATGCAACGTCTTGGATCTGTGACATCCACTTGTATTGATCATAACTTTACTAATGATGCAGAGCTTTTCTCCAATGCAAGTTCCTTTTGGCTGTAGTGACCATAACATTGTGGCAATAACAAGGAAAGCCAAAGTACCAAAGGTAGGGCCTAAAGTTATGAGATCATACAAAATGTTATCAGGACTCTTTTGTTGAAGATGTAAAACATTTATGTTGGTCTGATGTGTATAAGGAGGAGAATCCAGATGCAGCACTTGGGAGTATTTGTAAAATTATTCTTGCCAATTGTCGACAAGCATGCACCTGTTAAGAAACTGTGAGAACTGTTAGTGCCCCTTGGATCGATGATGATTGAAAAATGTTATGGTGCAAAAAACAGGTGGCAAACAAGTCAGGCTGCTCAGCTGATTGGTTGACATGCTCTGACATGTGGACACCTGCTCGTCGAACAGCTAATTCCAAAATCATGGGCATTAATATGGAGTTGGTCCCCCCTTTGCTGCTATAACAGCCTTCACTCTTCTGAGAAGGCTTTCCACTAGATGTTGGAACATTGCTGCGGGGACTTGCTTCCATTCAGCCACAAGAGCATTAGTGAGGTCGGGCACTGATGTTGGGCGATTAGGCCTGGCTCGCAGTCAGCGTTCCAATTCATCCCAAAGGTTTTCGATGGGGTTGAGGTCAGGCCTCTGTGCAGGCCAGTCAAGTTCTTCCACACCGACAAACCATTTCTGTATGGACCTCGCTTTGTGCACAGGGGCATTACATTTACATTTACATTTTAGTCATTTAGCAGACGCTCTTATCCAGAGCGACTTACAGTTAGTGAATACATTTTTTTTTTATATACTGGCCCCCCGTGGGAATCGAACCCACAACCCTGGTGTTGCAAACGCCATGCTCTATCAACTGAGCTACATCCCTGCCGGCCATTCCCTCCCCTACCCTGGACGACGCTGGGCCAATTGTGCGCCGCCCATGAGTCTCCCCGTCGCGGCCGGCTGCGACAGAGCCAGCATTGTCATGCTGAAACAGGAAAGGGCCTTCCCCAAACTGTTGCCACAAAGTTGGAAGCACAGAATCATCTAGAATGTCATTGTATGCTGTAGTGTTAAGATTTCCCTTCACTGGAACTAAGGGGCCTAGCCCGAACCATGAAAAACAGCCCCAGACCATTATTCCTCCTCCACCAAACTTTACAGTTGGCACTATGCATTGGGGCAGGTAGCGTTCTCCTGGCATTCGGACTGCCAGATGGTGAAGCGTGATTCATCACTCCAGAGAACGCGTTTCCACTGCTCCAGAGTCCAATGGCGGCGAGCTTTACACCACTCCAGCCGACGCTTGGCATTGCACATAGTGATCTTAGGCTTGTGTGTGGCTGCTCGGCCATGGAAACCCATTTCATGAAGCTCCTGACGAACAGTTCTTGTGCTGACGTTGCTTCCAGAGGCAGTTTGGAACTCGGTAGTGAGTGTTGCAACCGAGGACAGACTATTTTTACGCACATTCTACTGCCAATGTTTGTCTATGGAGATTCCATGGCTGTGTGCTCGAATTTATACACCTGTCAGCAATGAGTGTGACTGTAATAGCCGAATCCACTTATTTGAAGGGCTGTCCACATACTTTTGTATATATAGTGTATGTCTGTTATAAAAATATGTTCTGCATTTGACACGCAGATCAACTGTACTAGTTGTTCATGCTCTGATCTTGTCCCATCTTGATTACTGTCCGGTAATATGGTCAGGTACAGCAAAGAAAGACCCAGCAAAGTTGCAGATGGCTCAAAACAAAGCAGCACATCTTGCCCTTAACTGCACACACATAACTAACATCAACAACATGCATGATAGTCTTTTATGGTTGAGGGTTGAGTAGAAATTGACTACTTCTCTTGTAGCCTTTTTAATTAACATTTGTGTGTTGAAAATGCCTAACCACTTGTATAATCTATTTATATACACTTCAAAACAGACATACTGAGTATACAAAACATTAAGAACACCTGCTCTTTCCATGACGACTGACCAGGTGAATCCAGGTGAAAGCTATGATCCTTATTGATGTCACTTGTTACATTTACATTTACGTCATTTAGCAGACGCTCTTATCCAGAGCGACTTACAAATAGGTGCATTCACCTTAAATCCACTTCAAATCAGTGTAGATGAAGCGGATGAGACAGGTTAAAGAAAGATTTCTACTCAATAGTAGGAAGGTGTTCCTAATGTTTGGTATACTCAGTGTACATACCCCACCAGACACGCCACTATGCGTTTCTTCACTGTACCCAAACCCAAAAAAGATTTAATGCTTCACTCAGTTATGTATAGAGCCATGTCGTGAAATGCTCTGCCACCAGAGGTTACTCAGGCAAAAAGCAAGTTTAACTTTAAAAAAACATCACAGCGCCTCTCCTCTTTCTAAAGATCTAATTGAACTGTATATAAGAATATAAATCTGTATATATGAATAGTGTGTAAATAGTATTTTTGTTGTCTCTTGGTGTCTGTCCAATATAAACTCAGCAAAAAAAGAAACGGCCTCTCACTGTCAACTGCGTTTATTTTCAGCAAACTTAACATGTGTAAATATTTATATGAACTTAACAAGATTCAACAACTGAGACATAAACTGAACAAGTTCCACAGACATGTGACTAACAGAAATTGAATAATGTGTCCATGAACAAAGGGGGGGTCAAAATCAAAAGTAACAGTATCTGGTGTGGCCACCAGCTGCATTAAGTTCTGCAGTGCATCTCCTCATGGACTGCACCAGATTTGTCAGTTCTTGCTGTGAGATGTTACCCCACTCTTCCACCAAGGCACCTGCAAGTTCCTGGACATTTTTGTCGTAGCCGGCCGCGACCGGGAGACCCATGGGGCGGTGCACAATTGGCCCAGCGTCGTCCAGGGTAGGGGAGGGAATGGCCGGCAGGGATGTAGCTCAGTTGGTAGAGCATGGCGTTTGCAACGCCAGGGTTGTGGGTTCGTTTCCCACGGGGGGCCAGTATGACTAAAAATAATAATGTATGCACTCACTAACTGTAAGTCGCTCTGGATAAGAGCGTCTGCTAAATGACTAAAATGTAAATGTAATGTAAATGAATGGCCCTAGCCCTCACCCTCCGATCCAACAGGTCCCAGACGTGCTCAATGGGATTGAGATCCGGGCTCTTCGCTGGCCATGGCAGAACACTGACATTCCTGTCTTGCAGGAAATCATGCACAGAACGAGCAGTATGGCTGGTGGCATTGTCATGCTGGAGGGTCATGTCAGGATGAGCCTGCAGGAAGGGTACCACATGAGGGAAGAGGATGTCTTTCCTGTAACGCACAGCGAAGAGATTGTCTGCAACAAGCTCAGTCCGATGATG